CAGGGGGGTGGAGAAGGAAAGCTCAAAGGAAAGGTTGGGGTGGATGAAGGGGAGACACTGAGGAGAGGCCAGGTAGGACAGAGGGGAAAAGGGCAGCTGAGCAAACCCATGGTGTGGGGAAAGCATCTGTAAAGCCTCCCAGGAGAGGGTTGGGGGGTGAAAGGGTCTCTCTGTGGGGACCACAATGTGACCCAGCACTGCAGCAGGACCCCACGGGGACCTGACTCCCAAATGCCACGAGAGAACCTCCAGGACAGCTTTGCTTCTGTGCCCGTTGCCAACAGGACACTCACCTCCCTGCTTTGCTTTTGTTCCAGTATCGAACTGTCCTTGTCCCGGTGGTGAAGTCTCCCGGCTTTCCAAAGATCCCAGGAAAAACTCTGAGTTTCATTTACTTTGCACCTGATGACGAAAACCCTGAGATTCATCGGCCTGTGTTCCTCGAGCTGACGCCATCGCCTGAGATGACCTACAGGACCCTGCCCGGGACCAGCAACGAGATGAATGTCTTGGGAATCGTCATCTTCTCAGCCACGATAGGTACCTGTTCGCCGGAGAACGGGGCTCTGCACCGCGCCCTGGCCCAGCCCCCAGGGCTGCCCAGCGGTGGCTGCAACCCAGGGTGGCAACTGCTGTGGCCGCTGTGCTGCACACTGCGGCGGGATGCTCAGAGGCGTGAGGTTACTGTAGCTCTAACCACTCAAGTCATGGGGAAGTAGGCACAGCACAGAGCTTGTACCAACGCTTCCGTCAGCGCCATCCATAACGGAGCTCAGAAAAGGTGCTGGGCACTGCTGGGCTGTCTTCTCCCCAGATGTTCCCTTCACAGCTCACGCACAGGTCCTGAGGGTTTTCAAACTGTCACGTAAGCTGGAGGGTCCTTTTAGGGAAATCTACTTAAGCGAGTTGTAGTTTTCATAGAATCATAGAACGGTTTGCGTTGGAAGGGACCTTGAAGATCATTTAGCTTCAACCCTCCCCACCGTGGGCAGGGACACCTCTCGTCAGACGAGGTTGCTCAAAGCCTCACCCAGCCCGGCCTTGGGCACTGCTGGGGATGGGGCATCCCCAGTTTCTCACGACAACCTGTTCCAGAGTCTCACCATCCTCATAGTAAAGAACTTCCGCAGAGGCTGCCTGGGACGTGGCTCGTTACAAACGGTCTGAACCCTATAGGCTGGGTGAAGGTGTTGGAACTGCCCGAGCAGGCAGCAGCAGGTCAAAGCTGGGTCCGACTTAGTGCCTGTCACAAATGTACAGAAATTCCCAACGGGGCTTTCTGGAGAAGGTAAGAAAGCTTCCTGCACCAAGCCGCTCGCAATCCCTCGTAGGTAAGGTGGTCAGCAGCAATTCCAGGGAGGAAGAAGCAGCGGAGGTTGAACGGAGAAAAGATTTAAAGGAGAGAAAGTCAAGGGGAGGAGGAACTTGGAGGTGACTCAAAGAGTAAGAGAGAAGGACACTGGGTGAAGGCTGAGTGGGAAAGGGAGGGAGGAATCAGGAGGGAAAAGAGTAGGAGGCGATGCAACGAGCATGGGGACAGGATTACACGTAGATTAAGAGGTGAGGGCAAGGAGCTTGAACTTAGTGTATAAGGAACCAAAAAGCCAATTAGAGGATTTGAGGGCTGGAAGCGTCGCAGCCAGCGCAGCACCCGAGCACGTCACACCGTGTCAGGGCAGAGCGGCCAGTTCTAAAAGCCCTGACACAGCGGGTGCCTGGAGGAGACGGCCACAGTGAGACCGGGCAGAGATGGACCCACCAAAGGTCCTCATGGGCACAAGAGATGGCTGCGGCAGAGCCCCGCCCCCCCCCCGGCGGCAGACAGGCAGGGAACAGGTCGAGCTCCTGTTCGCATGACACGTGTCCTCCAGCCTGGCCAAAGAAGCGAGGAGAAGCCGCTTTTCTCTTCGGAGATTTCCAGCCTGCCAGCGTGGGAGTGAGGATCAGCGCCGAGTTAGGACACTGCCGGACCAACCGCACGCCCTGCGCTGGGATCAGAGCTCCACGAAGCCACACAGCACCACCTGCACTGGGCAGCTTGGGAAAGGGCATTTGTCCATCTGCGGGAAGCTTTACCTGCAAGAAGTGGTTGAATTAATGGGATTTGCTTGGCAGAAGACAGGAAAGGGCCAGGGAAAACCAGACACCACAGCTCTGTGCCGTGGGAAACACGGCTCAGGCGGGAGGGGGCAGGTGAAAGCCGGCTGAGATCTCAGCAAAGGGTATTTGTGTTCAATCCCAGAAAGAGTTTGTGGGACAGAGCAAGGCAGAACCCACTGGCTACCCTGAGGGACCCGTAAGAGCATGGTGAAACCTGTAGTGAGTCTGGAGTCTGCCCAGGGAAACCCACTCCAGAGCCTAAAGACACTGAGCCCGGCACCACCACTGACACCGAACCGTGTGCTTGGTTGCAGGACTTCTCCTGGGAAAAATGGGCGAGCGAGGAACTCCGCTGGTTAACGTGTGCCAGTGCCTGAACGAAGCTGTTATGAAAATTGTCTCAATGGCAGTTTGGTAAATCTGGTTTTGATTGATTCCGTTATTTTCTTACCTGTTTCCTAACGGCAGTGCCTGTCACACACCTGCCCGAGTCTGTTGTGAGCAGTGGATTGATTTCCATGTGGCTGTATCGCAGGGTACCTGATCCTGTAACAGCAGCCATGTAGCGCTTCACCGCTTGCTGCACCCTCACAAATCATTTTTATGCTTCTTCTTTGCAGGTACTTTCCCTTTGGCATCGTATTTCTTATCGCTGGAAAGATCCTGGAGATGGAAGACCCGTCAGTCATAGGCCAGAAGCTCGGTCTATACGCCATCACAGTGGTCTCAGGGCTGGCCATCCACGGCCTCGTCCTCTTACCTCTGCTCTTTGTGCTCATCACCAAGAAAAACCCCTTTCCATTCATTCAGGGGATACTGCAAGCCTTGCTGATCGCCTTAGCTACGTCTTCCAGGTATGAAACCACGGCTGAAATGTGCTGAGAAAGACAAGGCGGCATCTGGTTTAGCCAAGGGAGAGCCAGCTGTGTGGATGGCCGGGCAAGATGCAAGGGAACAGGTATAACTCAAAGGAAAAAAACATGCTCCAGCTCTATCTAGAACGAGATCACTTCCAGTTGTAATAGTTAGAGGGATGCTTGGTGGGAAGAGCCTCAGAACATCTTCAGACCCGGTGGGTTTGTATCGCTCTTCCACTCGCCCTCTCCTGGGGTTTTCCTGGAGCGAAGCAGCAACGCTGGCACACGTGTGTGCTTCCTTCGGTTGCTGCAGGCAGGTTTCCTGCCAAAAATTCAAAATAGGAGTGTTGCAGGGGCCTTAACAAACAGTGTGGCGTTACGAACCTGGGTTTTAACCGAAAGCATCAAAAGCTCTTCTGAAGCCTTTAATGAAAATCTTAAGTGCATCTCAAGCTCCCCCGAAGAAAAGCATTGTCTGCTTCGATGAGCTTTTATGACTATTTTATCTTTTATTTTCATCAAAAAACCATATAAAGAAACTTCCCATTAGAAACTTCCATCCTTTCAGGAAAACAGCCCAAAACATTTTCTTAGAGCTTCTGACTCAGAAAAGTGCTTTTCTGGCCTCCCTCACGTTGCTGCTTCACATCATCCCAGTAAACCCCCCCGGAGTCGTGCCTCCCTGGGCCAGCACCCACTGCCGTGGGGATCTTCTGCTCCTCTCGACTACCTGCTCTCCTCCCGAGCCCGGCTCTGCAGCTCTCCGTTGGGAGACAGAGCTTCCGAGAGTCTATCGCAACCCCACCAACTCCTTTCCCGCGCTCGTTTTCTTTCTTCCGCTCCTTCTTCTCCCTCTGCGTCCTCGCCCCCACTCCGGCGGGACAGCTCGCTTGGCGCTAGACACAAACAAGAGAGATAGGTCAGGGGGTGCAGGAGGAGCAGCGGGAGCCCTCGACATGCTGCAGGGGTGACACGGGGACCAGGGACGGACAACGTGACCGTCACCCTGAATCACAGAATCACAGAATCGTTCACGTTGGAAAAGCCCCTTGGGATCATCGAGTCCAATCACTGACCCTTCTCTACCGAGCTCACCCCTAAACCATCTCCCCCAACCCCACATCTCAACAGCCTTTAAACACCCCCAGGGGTGGGGACTCAGCCCCCTCCCTGGGCAGCCTGTGCCAAGCTCTGACCACTCTTGCTGGGACAGTTTTTTTCCCAGTGAGCAGTTTCTCTCGCAGCCAGTGCTCTCCGACTGCTCAGCCCGTCCCACACGTTCCCCGGGCAGGGCAAGCTGAGGAACCTTTCGTTGCTACAGCAATGTCACCGAGGAGTGTTTTAAGTGACTTAATCACTGTCAGAGAGATTAGCAAAAGTCCATTTTTTTAATGAGAATTTTTAAAAGCGTGACTGGACAAAGTTCAGTGGAAGGTTCGCTCCGTTACTCGCTGCACGGACGAAATACATAAAGGGCCAGGTCAGTTTGTTGGGGAACCATTGCCCACAGACTCTACACAACTCCCTTCTTACCAACACCTGATCATCAGCCAGTTAGCAGAGCAGCAATAAAATGTCACAGAATCACAGAACGGTTTGGGTTGGAAGAAACCTTAAAGACCACCTCTCGTTCCAAACACCCGCTGCATTTTGTCATTAAACAAATTCTGGTGCTGCCATCGCAATGCGGCCCAGGAGGGGAGGGACGGGGGCTCTGCCCCACCACAAGCACTTTTCCTACGCTGTTGTTGCAGCATTTACCTCGGGAGGACTCGTGTTTCTGTCCCATTATGTTGACTCTGAATGTCAACACGGACGACAGCGAGCACGACCGCCCATTTCTCGTTCCACAGCTCCGCGACCCTGCCCATCACCCTCAAGTGTCTCCTGGAAAACAACGGCATAGACCGACGCGTGGCACGCTTCGTCCTGCCCGTCGGCGCCACCATCAACATGGACGGCACAGCGCTGTACGAGGCCGTCGCCGCCATCTTCATCGCGCAGGTCAACGAATATGACTTGGATTTGGGGCAAATTATAACAATAAGGTAAACGTTTCTTTGCAGCAGCTGAATTATTTCTCTCTAGCCACGTTTACATTAGCAACAACTTACTTTGCCATGCGAACACACTTGCTTTTTTCTTTTTTTTTCCTTTTTTTTTTCCTTTTTTCTCCTCTTAACACCCCCCTCCCATAATTGCACAGCCGCCTTCTCTTTGCAGCATCACGGCAACAGCAGCAAGCATAGGGGCAGCTGGGATCCCCCAGTCCGGGCTCGTCACGATGGTCATCGTGCTGACTTCCGTGGGGCTGCCGACCGACGACATCACCCTCATCATCGCGGTCGACTGGGCTCTGTGAGTATTTTCCAGGCGACGTATTCGAGGCAGCTCTCACGGAGGCAAACATGAGGGTCACAAAACAGGGCCAGGAGCCAAGTGCGAGATTCCTCCTTTTCCCGTTATTTCCTTGGCACGGCCCGTGATAACTGTAGGCAAACTGTCTCCCAAAGGAGCGCTGGACTCGAGGTGTTTCTCTTCTGAGATGCTTCACCCAGGACCGTCCACGGAGCAGTGGGGACCATGTTCAGCTGCTCTCTCAAGGAAGTTTCCCAGCTTGCCCTGACCTTTTATATAAATTCCTCTTGAATTGTACAAGAGATCTCTCAAACGAGTTACAAAACCTGAATCACGGAATTGTTTCTACTTTGAAGAGATCCAAAGGATCTCTTAAAGATCGAGAGGAAGCCGGAGGGAAGGAGGAAAGAGGTGCACGGTCCTGTCTTCATGAAGCAGCACTGTGAAAGGCTGCTGATTTACATTTTCCCTAGAAATACCTCCAGTCCTGGTCTTCTCCAAGCTGTCCACTCCACGAGCAAGGGACGATGGACAGCACAAGGGTCGAGGCCAAGTGGCGGGCGGCATAGTATTTGTTTTGGTGGGATATTACCCCTGGAAAAGGAACAAGGCTGGTAAAGCAGGGTGAAAGGCATCTGGCTTCATACAAGGAGAAATTAAGATGAGTCAGCGAGATGCTAACAACACAAGTGAGTGACAAACGGGTGGAGACACGCGGTTGTTCAGGAAAAAAGCAGGATCTCCAGGAAAGAAAATAAAAATCAGGGAGTACAATAATAAGCCATAAACCACTAGCAATTATTTACAATATGGGCTCACCTACTTTGCTGTTTCTATTTTGGAAGCATGGGCATTTTAACAATTAAAAAGTAGAAACAAGAGAGGAATAGATGCCACATCAGAAGAGTAACAAAGTAAAGGATGAGTTGGTTACACACCAAATCTGGCAGAAAATGACACAGTCGGTTCTTCAACAGATGCAGCAAAATCCCCTCTTGCATTTAACTTCTCCCTCAAACCCATATGTCACCGCAACAAAAATATCCCTGGGGTTTCTAAAAGTGAGGATGACATTTTCAGAGAACTGCATCCAACACCGAGGAAGCGATCTTCCAGCGAGACTGTCTTCACCTTCACGGATGAAGACCAGGTTGATCTCGAGAAAAAAAAAATGCTGCTTGACTGCGTTTGCCACAGACAAACAGAACAGGATTCAAACAGACGCAGTCTGCAAAACGCGCCAGGGTAAAGTACCGAGATAAAAACGAAGCAAATTAGCAAGCTTAAAAAACATCCAGAGTCGATGTCGACTTCTACACAACCGACGCGTGGGCGGCTGATCTGGTCGTCACAGCCACCCTGTCTGAAGGGAACAGCCCCGAGTCCCCTGCCCGCTCTCCTCTTTCCTCCCCAGAAAGGGAAGTTTCGCTTTCCAAGTGAAAGTTGTACAATCAGAACAGAACACAAATTCTGTCCTTGAGTACCACGGGTACCCGGCCCCATCACCCTACTGAGGCAAGAGGTGCTCGGATGGAGCAGGGAGCTGAGTAACCAACCTTCCTCCCCGAGACGCAGCTCAGGGAGCTTCACGCCTCACTGAGGCAGCTCCCCTGACATCGGGCAGAAACGACGACATCACATGATGACATCTCCTTGATACACTCTCAGCAGTTTGAGCAGAAGCACCGGCAGGGCTGCACGCTACCGACCAGCGTGAGGAGACAAAAGCAGCCCCATCCCCTTCCCGGTGCACACACACCGCACGCACCACTTCCCTCTGTAGCTGCTCTTTTTGGCGTTAGCGAAACCAGTGGCAGAGATGTTAGGGATGGAGGTTGACGCGTTTCAAAGCCATAAAAGTCCCCGGGTATGCTGGCTGCGTCCTCACGGCTCTCTCTCATCCAGGGATCGGTTTCGAACTATGACCAACGTCCTCGGGGACGCGCTGGCTGCTGGCATCATAGCGCACGTCTGCGAGAAAGACTTTGCCCCAAAGCCCCCCGTGGTACGTACAGCTTGTCAGGGGGAGCCGGGGAACGCAGGAGATGCAATGACGCTGCACAGACGCGACACACGTGCTCACTTAAGCAACTAAAATTGTCTTTTTTCCTTCTTGCAGCAAGATCCGGTAAGCAACACAGACAAGACCCCGCCACTGCATCCCAAAGACAACGTGATTGAAATGATTGAAGAAACTCTGCTCGATCAGACAGGGGTTCACTATAACATCTGTCAGGTGTAGATCGCAGCATCCCCGCTCCCAGGCAAGGGATCTTGGTGCTACAACCAGTGACAGTCCAGCGCTGCACGTGGATGCTCTGCAGACAAAGGCCTTACTTGGCACCTGAGGTGGAAGAATCCACTTCGTCCTTTGAAGACCGCGGGCCTCTCCAGCAAGCAGCCAAGTGGCACGGCTGCGCCTG